CCGGCATCGAGCTCCCACATCTCCAACAATCCAGATGCACCGTTGAGTACATGTGAGCTAGTTTCTCTGGGAAAACCCGTTCCCACTGAGTCTTTGCTAAATTTTTGTGAAGGTCGAGATCCCATAGCTTAGTAAAGTAAGGGAGTGGGGGTCATCTGAGGGTATTGGGAGTAATTGAAATAACTGAGAGATATAGTATTCCAAGGGATAAGTGTGAAGACAGGCAGAATTCCATAAAGGGGCGGAGATCTTAAGATCTCCCAATTTCTGTTCAGAGATGAAACAAAATGTGACAATTGATTGTATAGAAAGTAGTTCCGGAGTGTAGTAAAAAGAAAGGTCAAACCAGGGAATCCAAGAGCATTTACTGTACCGAGCAAAGGATTTTGTGGACATGAAGTGCAGATATAAATGCAAGAGGCATGTCGTGCCAGAGGGAAGTGTGAGTTGTCAGAAATTAGCAGTAAGGGGAAGGGAATGCATAGAAAGAGAAACTAGAAGAACTCTATCTCCAAATTGGTAAAAATATTGGAATTGTTGCTATGGGGTGGCTGGGGCTGCAGTAGACTGCCAGGTATTGGGAGGATTGAGGAGAGGCGCACTGTGCTGATGGCCAACACTCTGTGAAGGGGACAAGCTGAGCAGTATGTGAGTCAGATATAGTTTGTGTGGAAATGGGTCAGTTTGTGTGTGAGTATGTAGTGTGTATGGGTCAGAGTATTTATTTTTTGGTGTGTGGGCCAGTGATAGTGTGTGGGCAGGGTCAGTGAGAAGTTTGATTAAAGAAAATTCAATAATGTAATTCATGGGATTTTAGAGCATATGCATATATAAATAAACACAGTTATGTTAATATACATGTATGTATTATTAATATACATATATTAATATTTACAAGTATCACTTTCATATGCATAAAACACTAAAATTGGAGAGTAAAAATCTGAATCACGTTACTTTAAAAATACAGTCCGCACACACCACACATACATCGTACATATAACATATAACATATTACATACAGCCTTCACCAATATACAGCCAGCACACTGCGTTACATACAGACAGCACACATGCCATGTACACATTAACAAAGGGAGGGGCAAAGAGTAATTCACAAAACTCAGAATTTTTTCAAAATCAATCCAAATTGCAAAACTTAAGAAAGCTGAAAAAATTGCCATATTGTTACAATAGCAAAGTTAGATAATATTTCCAGATTGGTTATTGTTGCTTCCATTTATTTATTTATTTTTTAGATTTTTTATTTTTTAGATTTTTTTTTTTTTTTGATTTTCAGTTCAGTTCAATGCTCAGGTCTCAAGGCAGAGGCCCTAATATTTGTAATTTAAATTCTTTTGTGTCAGGACAAGAGTTTCAAAAAAATAAGTTTATAGGAAAGGTACTTTTTAAATTCCAAATGTTAGTACCTATACTAGTCAGAATTCCTGCTGCAGGGAGCAGGGTTTAACGGCGGGATGGCACAACACCATTTCTTGAGTTCCTCTCTATTCTAAATCAAATCAACTCTTTTGAGGGGAAACACTATTTAATTTTTTTTCACTCATGCTTTGATTGGCACTGACTGCAGGAAGCTGAGAGAAATGCCTTTCGTTTCAAGGTCAGGGCCAAAATCCGACGCTGGTGTTCCGAGGCCTACAATGCGGGCCACCTTTGAGGAGATGCGCATCCAACAGAAGCGTGGAAAGGCTTCGATGTGTACTTGCACGAACCCACACAAAGCTGTGAAAAACTGGAGGAGAAATGGGAGAGGTCCCAGGAGCCTCAACTAGTATTGGAAAACGACAAGCAAGATATGGAGCTAAGCTGACAGTGTTGAGAAGCTAAAAGGCCTGCAAATCCCAATTGGATGACAAGGTTGCTGACGGAGACTTACTAACTGATTATCCCACAGCCATAAGAACTTTTAGTTCAGCCTCAGCCACCAAGCAAGATATCCACAATTTATTTGCAGACATTCGACAATGTTTGCAGTCGACAACACTTTGGTGAAGGCGGAGGTCCAGGCGGTTACTACCAGTGTTAAAGCCACAGAGAAGGACATAGTGGATATAAAGCAGAACATGAACATTTTAGGGAAACTGGTACCGAGACTCAACACCCAACATTCTGATTAAATGGATGAAAAAGGTCGTAGGAAGAATATTAAAATAAAGGGAGTTTTGGGCTCCATTATGGTTGCAGAATTGTCACATTTTAATAGGGGATTAGTGGCTACACTGCTGCCTGCCAAACAAGCAAATCCACTTATCATTGATGGTGCCGATCCAAAGTCTCTCCATCCACCAGCTGCTACTCACAGACACATTATTCTACGTTGTCGCACACTTCAAGATAAAATAAATTGCAGCTCTCCAGAAGACCTACATCGTACAACCTTGCTTTAATGGAAGTCATTGCAACCCATCAACAAATAGCTTCAGGAGGCAGGTGTTGTCTATCGCTGGAATGCTTCTAGGTTACTTACTGTCTCTAAAGAGAGGAATTATATAAGGCTGCCATATACTCCATGGTTTTCCATATGATGTCACATTACTCTTTTCCAATTTCCCCCCTCTCCCCTGCCACCCACTCAGGGGCAATAATATATGCCATGAAGTTTACATTTAGGGTTATATATTTGCCAGCTTTCACACATTTATAGTCTTACCCCAAGATGTATTCGATAATTAAATCAGTATTTTCCATAGTCAAGGAATCTTTTATGTTGCCTTATCACTAGTCTTATTGAGATAGATAGAGATATATATATATATATATATATATATATATATATATATATATATATATATATATATATATATATATATATATATATATATATATATATATACGTGTGTGTATATGTAAAAAAACAGATTAAATTCTTATCTTGTAATACATTTTTTTAATGACAAGCTTTCGGGAGAACCTCCCTTTCTCAAGTCTGAAGCATTTCTGAGCAAAACGACACATAGAATTCAAAGTTGAGTTCAGACTTGAGGGAGGTTCTCCCGAAAGCTTGTCATTTAAAAAAAATTCTGTTAGTCCAATAAAAAAGGTATTACAAGATAAGAATTTTATCTGTTTTTTACATCTACATCACTGGACTAACACGGATACAATCTCTACTTGAACACTATATATATATATATATATATATATATATAATGTGTGTGTGTGTGTGTGTATCTTCAAGACAAGGATGTACGTTTTATTCCTCATGCAAGTATGTATTTATGTCTTGTTTATTGTGATGTACTAACTTACCTGCAAAAATAAAAATGTTTAAAAAACAAAACAAAATCCTACTCCACGAGAATTAAAGTACATAAAAAAATGAAATTTAGGTTTATTCAGCCATTCAAACAGGCAGGTAATGTTTCTTAGATTTAATTTTAAGACTAGAAGATTGCCATGACGGACAAGTAGGTCGTGTTAACATTTATTAGTCCCTTGATCAGGTAGATTTCATTTTTCCTTTTTATTTGTTTTTTTTATCCTTTTATCCACACTACAAAAATATATAAATATATCCAAAACTCCTATTTGTTATGCTGTACAATAACAGCTGACTTGGAGCTGCTGAATTCTACTGGAATAATATTGTCTAACTCTGTGTAAGAATATTTGGAATTTTAGTGAACATTTGTTCCTCCCCCCACCAGTACTAACCCCCTGATTACTGTAGTGCAGGTTTCTTTCCTCTATTTTTTTAAACAAACACAAAACAAATACTTATCCTTTAGCAGCTTGCTATATATATTAAAAAAAAAAAAAAAATTGTATTTTTTTTTTTTTTGTAGTAGAGAAGTTGTTAATTTTGAATCAAAATGATACAGTTAACTTGTATACATCCTTGTTGGATTTAAAGCAATCCACAGTTAAACACAAAGATCCAAGTTATATGCGAATAGTATACATGTGCAATTCGTTTTGCTCCGAATTAAAATTCGGCCGAATTTCGGGTAATTCGGACATTCGGTTGCTTCCGAATGTCCGAATCGCTAAATTGCCAAAGTGCCGAAATTACCAAATTTCCAAAGGTGTCAAAGTGCCAAAGTGTATACAAACATTCATATAAAATGTAAGTTACTTAGCCAGTCATGTAATGACAGGAATGAATAAGTAGATAACTCCCTAATTCCCACGGTATCTGAATTGTTCTTTCAGCCAAATTTACTAATACAAAGTAAAGATTACTTAGTATTAGTAAATTATGCCCCTACTCACTATATCGCAAGTAGGGGAATGTCTATTAAACAGTGAGCAGCTTGTGGGTGGGGGCCCTAAATACAAATTGGTGGAGGGGACCTAATGTCCTCCCCCCTGGCCCCCACCCCTGAGCGGTGGGTGGGGGCCCTAAATACAAATTGGGGGGACCTAATGTCCTCCCCCCTGGCTCCAACCCCTAAACAAGAATAAGGGGGGGAACCTAATGTCCCCTGGCCCCCACCCCTGAGCAGTGGGTGGGGGCCCTAAATACAAATTTAACCCCCCTCGTCCCGAGGTGACTAGGGGTCCTCAAACCCCTAGTCACCCCCTCCCCCAAAGAAATGAACCCTTCCTACTCCCCTCACCCTAAAAATAATGAGGGGGGGACCTTTAACTAAGTACCTGTAAAAATAAAAATAAGTTTACCATTTGATGTTTTCTTTCTTCTAAAATCTTATTTTTTCGGCCCCAAAAAAGGCCAAACAAAAATCTATAATAACCGACGCAATAAAAAAATAAATAAATAAACCATTTTCACCCGGCGAGGGCTCCACACAGACTGAGCTCTGCAGGGCAGGGGAAGGCTTATAAAGCCTTGCCCCGCCCTGCAATTAAGCTCAGAGCACTCTGGTTGGTGGGTTTAAGCCATCCAATCAGAGTGCTCTGACAGGTAAATGAAGAGACTGACAGGTAAGTCTCTACACTTACCTGTCATAACACTCTGATTGGTTGGTTTGAAATCCACCAATCAGAGTGCTCTGTGTCATTTTACACAGCGTGGAAAAATTCTTTGGAATTTTCCCACGCTGTGTAATTTGACTCATAACACTCTGGTGGATTAAGTAACCAATCAGAGTGTTATGAGTCAAATTACACAGCGTGGGGAAATTCCAAAGAACTTTCCCATGCTGTGTAAAATGACACAGAGCACTCTGGTTGGTTTGAAATCCACCAATCAGAGTGCTGTGACAGGTAAACGTAGAGACTTACCTGTCAGAGCACTCTGATTGGATAGCTTAAACCCACCAATCAGAGTGCTCTGAGTCTAATTGCAGGGCGGGGCAAGGCTTTATAAGTCATCCCCCGCCCTGCAGAGCTCAGAATGCGCGGAGCCCTCCATGGGTGAAGATGGATTTTTTTTTTTAAATTTTTTTTTTTTTTTTTGCGCTCAGGTTTTTCTTTTTCTTTTTTTTATTTTTAATTGCATCGGTTATTATGGTTTTTTATTTGGCCTTTTTTGGGGCTGAAAAAATATGATTTTAGAAGAAAGAAAACATCAAATGGTAAGTTTATTTTTATTTTTACAGGTACTTAGTTAAAGGTCCCCCCCCCCTCATTATTTTTAGGGTGAGGGGGTTGGTAGGGGTTCATTTTTGGGGGGAGGGGGTGACTAGGGGTTTGGGGACCCCTAGATATCTGGGGGGAGGGGGGTTACATTTGTATTTAGGGCCCCCACCCGCCGCTCAGGGGTGGAGGCCAGGTGGGAGGACAATAGGTGCCCCCCAATTTTTATTTAGGGCCCCCACCCGCCGCTCAGGGGTGGGGGTCAGGGGGGAGGACATTAGGTCCTCCCCAATTTGTATTTAGGGCCCCCACCCACTGATCAGGGGGGAGGACATTAGGTCCCTCCCCCTTATTCTAGTTTAGGGCCCCCACCCACTGCTCAGGGGTGTGGGCCAGGTGGAGGACGTTAGGTTCCCCCCCCAATTTGTACTTGGGGCCCCCACCCACTGCTCAGGGGTGGGGGCCGGGGGGAGGACATTAGGTTCCCCCCGCCACCAATTTGTACTTGGGGCCCCCATCCCCACCCCACTGTTTAATAGACATGCTCCTACTCGCAGTATACCGAGTAATTTTTACTTAGTATTAGTAAATTTGGCTGAAAGACCAATTTAGGTCTTTCAGCCTTTTGGTAGATAACTCCCTAATACTGTGGAGAAGTGCCAAATTGACGAAGTCCCGAATTTCGGAATGCCGAACTGAGCCGAAAATTTTCCCCATGCACATGCCTGGCGAATAGTTTAGTAGACTGGTCTTCTTCCACGTTGTGACCTTGGGGAGACTGCCCGGAAGTTGTATAAAGGGATTGTGATGCTATGTCACTGGGATACATGTTTGACCTCCCTAGCAACGAATAGAATTAACCCCCAAATTTTCCATGGTTATCATTAACTCAGTGTCACAAGACAATGTGTTGGGTGTCTTGGGTTACCCCCTAAATTTTATACCAACACTTTGCACCGTTACTTATTTGGTAACGTGATAAGCACAGGTACATGCTAAAGAATTTTTTAATTCCATATGGTCAAACCATTTTAGAATGGTCTCTGAGCTATATCGGTCACAAACAGGACCTTGCTTATTAACGAAGAGCTATGGAACCCGCATAGCTCAGTGGAGCTGTCTCTGCGTGACTCGGGTAAGTTGTCAAAACATCCTAAAACAGTTTGACAGATTACTTTGCGAAGGTACCAGGATAATCTACTATAGCAAGCTGTAGTAGTTGTGGTGCTTTAATACGAAACCAGATAAACCTAAAAGAGACATACGAGAATATAGAAAGACAATGCAAATGTTCCATACAAAATAAAACCTGCCTTAAAAGTAAAGTATAGAAATCCATAAAACCAGTCTAAGAGAAAACCTCTGACTTTGGAGTCCTTCAGATGTTGAAAACAAAAATTCAGATGAAATAACTGTGGTTGGCCCTCCCAATATATCACCAATGCCTCTGTTGTCTCTTTTGTCTTCTGAGTTGAGCCTTGCCATAAAGTCATGTGAGAGGAACAGGTGTCAGGGTGCCCATTTTACAATGTGCTTTAAAGGACCACTCTAGGCACCCAGACCACTTCAGCTTAATGGTCCAGCTAGGGTTAACCCATTTTGTCATAAACATAGCAGTTTCAGAGAAACTGCTATGTTTGTGAATGGGTTAAGCCTTCCCCCAAAGCCTCTAGTGGCTCTCTCACTGACAGCCGCTAGAGGCGCTTGCGTGCTTCTCACTGTGATTTTCACAGTGAGAGCACGCAAGCGTCCATAGGAAAGCATTGTAAATGCTTTCCTTTGTGACCGGCTGAATGCGCACGCAGCTCTTGCCGCGCGTGCGCATTCAGCCGACGGGGAGGAGAAGAGGAGGATCGGAGGAGGAGAGCTCCTCGCCCAGCGCTGGAAAAAGGTAAGTTTTAACCCCTTTCCCCCTTCCAGAGCCGGGCGGGAGGGGGTCCCTGAGGGTAGGGGCACCCTCAGGGCACTATAGTGCCAGGAAAACGAGTATGTTTTCCTGGCACTATAGTGGTCCTTTAATAAAACCTGCACATTGTTGTATGACAATTTATGAAATTTTGCAGCATTAACATTGTATGTGCTACAAGAGTACTATTATTATCCTAAAAGTAGACATCTAAGAGCACAGTCACTAATTTAAAAACTGGAGTTGACCATCTTGGCATGTCTGCATTTAATTTGTAGGAGAACACTGCGGTATTTCAATCCTATGTGTATCGTGCAGGGAAAACAGTTTGCAAAGTGGAAAATTGATGTGTACATTGCGCGTTCTGAATTAATTACGGTATAGACCAGCATGTTTTTCTCTTTAACGTTGATAGATTCTGTCATGTACAGTATGTGATTAGATCCCACCTTCCCCTCCAAGCTTGCAAGGGTTAAAGTGCATTGCGGATTCTGTGCATATTTCAATGATTGTAAAGCTGTGCATGGCGTGTGTGAATTTATCAGATGGCAATCTTCAATCCCTATTCTGTGATGTTTGGCAAGCCAGGTCCCTGTCATAAATTTAACAACCTGATTATGACTGTTCCAGCATACAGTTATGGATGCAGAGATAAGGGAACTTGAAAAAGATTCTTAAAATCCCTCAAGGGTCAAATAGAGGTCACTCCCTTTTATATGTAACATTATAATATTATTTGTGATAATAGACCATAAACTATTTAATATTTAATACATTTGAAAAAAAACCAAAAAAACTTTAAGTTTATTCAAAAATATTAAATTGAGGACATCTTTAGGGAACTGAGTTAGTTTAGTCCTGATTCGAACGGCCAGAGGAATGAATTTGGACTATATTCATGCATGTGCACAATTCTGTTCCTCCTGACTGGCAAAGCTTGTTCACTGAACTAGTTACCTCGAGATTGGGCCTGAGGCTAGGTGTTGTAGCAGTGATTCTAGGAGGAATGCGTTATAGAACTTCAACGTCTGAACAGTGAAGCATGTCATGATTGGAAGCACTGACCCCTGAAAAAACTTTAGTTTTTTTTGTTTTTGTTTTTTTTAAGTAAAAGTTAACCTTCTTCTTTAAATGGGCCTGTTTGCTAAATTGTGAGTTTTAGTACATTGACAACAGACTTAAAAAAAATAAAAATAAATCAGAACAGCGGCTAGGTTGTAGCTCTTCATTAAACAAATCACTGCCTAATGCATAGGAAGGTTTTCCGTGGCACTTCCACTTAGGAAACGGGTTTGTTTTTTTGAGAGGGACCACAATTCTGTACATTAGCAACTTATAGTTAAAGGGACACTCTAAGCACCAAAACCACAACATCTTAATGTGGTGCTCAGATGCTGCAAATGTACAGAGGAAAAGCAATGCTTACATTTGTCAGAACACGCCTCTAGTGGCTGTCATACTGAAAAATACATACATTTAGAAAATTATAAATGGGTTTATAATGTATGCATGTTTCAAGGAAACCTATACCTGAAAGTAACTATAGGTTACTTTATAGTGATGTGAGTACTGTCTACCCATCTTTACTTAGTAAAATTGATTAAAGTGAACATGTTAAGAGAAAATCAACTTACCTGGAAACACCCACATCCGCTGATATTACATATCATCCAATCCAATATCCCTTCAGATGATCCTCCACTCGTCCGATTTTCCAAATACCACGGCTGGTGCTAGGAATCAGCAGAGGAATGATATGCTGGTACAGAGTTGGAGAAACTTAAAATGACTTTAATAAAAGTAAAGTAGTATAACGGGATAAAAAATACATAGAAATATAACACTGACGCGTTTCGACCTATCTGGTCTTTCTCAAAGCGTATCATCTGGTTCTCTGTTCTTTTCTTTTATAACCCCTCAGATATTTATCACACATATCTCTTGCGCCCCCTGTCTTTATTGCTTTGTATTACTGTTATGTGTTTTTAAAGTGTTTTTTTTAAACACTGGGGAAGTCGCACATATATATAAGGAGAGCCACTCAGAACACCTTGTTTCACTTTCACTTTGTGTGTTAAGTTATCCTATCCAATCCAATGCTTCTCATAGAGTAGGAGGTAATTTGAAATAAAACGCCACACTCCTCAAATCAAGTGTTTCTGCATTGATTGAGTTTCACTTTTGTTCTGGAAGAGGTAGCGCCTCTAGTGGCTATCAGGAAGACTGTTATTAAAGATGTATTTAACTGTGCAAGTAAACATTGCAGTTTCTATAAAATGGCAGCGTTTTACATTGCTGGGTTAAAATGACAGGACTACTTTTCAGGTGACTAGGTGACTTTAGTGGTCTTGTCACTTTATCACTTTATCTCTCTAGATAACATTGTATTTTTATAACTGTTTTGGTCTGCCAGTTTTATTTTTTATCTCCCCTGCTTTTTTCTTGATGATGATGCTTTGTGTTCTTGCCATATTTCATTTTTGTGAAAAAGGAAAAAAAAAAAAAATTAGAACACACGAATAATCTCCTAAAATTCGACTGTATCTCCTTGCAACTCTTATTACTATTGTCTTAGAATTCTTTTTGTGGTAAATTTCTTTAAGTGAATCTTTGGCATACTGTGGTTCATTCTCCAAACCAGGCATGGAACTCTTAGTGTGCAATTCCCTATTCACATCTCCACAAGTAACCGAATTACAAAAAAGTCTCAAA